ACAGACGGCCATGCCTTAGCCTTTGCATTGGGTCGGCCCTGCAACAGAAACGGATCAGCGGCGAGGAAATCAGGTTCGAAACGGCCCTGCCTTGACCTTTGCTGCTGCAGCGGCTCGTGCCTGAGCTGCAAGCTTCTGTTGCTTTTGAATATCAACGGCCTCCGGCGGCTTCAGGTCCAGCAGCCACTCAGTTTCCTGAAATTTAGGGTTTATAGGGTTGAAGATGGAGGGTACGTTCAGGGTTTAGGGTTTGGAGTATATATATATATATATATATATGCGGGCGAGCGGCATCAGCAGACTCGGGCCTGGGAACATAGGCCACAGCATCGGCTGTTGCAGCCGCCCGGGCAGCTTCCGGAGCCACTGGCAGAGGAGCTGCAGGCACCAGTGCCTCCGGAGCCTCACCATGAGCAGCAACAAGCTGCTCCCCAGGATCAGCATCCGGAGCAGGCTCCTGCAGGGTGCAGTCATATTATAAATTAAGGTAAACAGCAGAGCATATCCTGCAACCCTCGGCCTCGTCGGAGTCTTCAATCTGAACTTGTTTGTCTTGCAGATCCAAAAGCACGGCCTTTCTCTTGGCCCGTAGCTTTTCCTCAATCGACTCCGGTTGCTGTATTCCCCAGGCATCCATTATCTCACCGGATTCGTCACGTTCGGCGGCGGCATCGTCCTCCGGGACGACGGCGGCTTCTTGCGAGTCCTCCCCAATAGCATCGTCGATGATCTGGAGCATCTCCAAAATTCTAGGATAGTTGTTGGCCCGACTGGGCCACTTTCTCTCGACTTGATTGCCTATATACCGCCAGCTGCGGCGAGTCCTCCGAACCGACTGCAGCAGCACCTTGACGTCTTGGGCCAGAACAACCACCAGTTCCAATGCAGGTTCTTGACCCATCCCCTGAGGATCGAGTACATCACGTGTTCCAGCCTGGATTGCAGATCGCCACGGATGAGGGTTTGGGATTGATAGAGAGGGACCCAATTCAAGACGTTAAGGGTTTAGGGGAAGTTTCGGGCTGGGTTAACGGAGTGGGACCCCATTCAAAACCCGATGCCGAGTCACGTCTCCGGAGCCAAAGGATGGCTCGGAGATGCTTTGAGCAAGGGCAGCAGCACCCAGCTCGCTTTGTCGATGGCACTCAATCCTGCATGCTGAGGTGACTTCTGGTGACTGTTCAAGTCTTTCGGTACCCCGACCGACTCGAAGATGTCCCGAGGGTTCTTGACCTCAAGAACGTGGCCCGGGACCACGATGCTATCGACCACGACTTGCCGTTCCTCCGGCGTCAGTCGCACTTCGGTCATATCCTTCGGAGGTCCTCGACTGCTCGACATGGCAAAACTGGGGCCGGTCACGGCACCCTTCACGGCACCCTTGGAGGGGCCGACCTATGCTGTTGTCGGGTTTGAGAGGATGAGTCCTCAAATTAAAATGGTTGATGGCAAAGTTTAGGGTTGAGGATTTTCGGGTTTAAGGTTTATGGACAGCCGCCCTCAGATGAGCCTTAGACTAACCGGCGATGGACAGCAGCCGGCCTCGGACAGTAAAAAGTGCGCGTTGAGTTTGCCGTTTTTGCCGTTATTAGGGTTCAGGATATTTGTTTTTGGAAAATCTATAAGGGTTTAAGATTTCGAGTTTAGGGTTAGGGGGGTCCAAGGGAAGGGTTTGCAGTGATTGAGGGTTTATATAGGTTTCGGGTGTAGGGCTTCAGGGCATAATTAGTAGCTGCCACAGGGGGCC